CTTGACAGGGGCCTTCTGATCCCAGCATCTTCCAAGATGTGGGACTTCAACCCAGCCCAACTCATGCGCTAGGAAGCCAGGAAATGCTCCCTGAAGGTCTCCTCTCCCTCTCCCCGCTGCCCCAACAGAGCCACAAATTGACGCTGGATGTTTTCCTTGCCGTGGGACGGGCCAGCCGGCTCAGGGGCAGATCAGCCAAAGGACTCTGCACGTCTGGGGTGAGTTCAAGCATTGCCAGGGCGGTTTATTGTCGAACAGAAATTATTACACAACCATCTCCTGCCTCTTCAGAGCTGGGCAGAGGCCGGAGGCTTCAGCCAGAGTCCAGAGTAGCAGAAAAGACACAACCCAGCACTGCACATGGTCTGTGTCCCACCTCCCCGGTGTCCCAGAGCACAGACCAGCATGGGCACCTATGGGATCCGGCCCTGCCCACGGCCCTCAGGGACCCTCTCCAGGCCACTCCGGTGATTGGCCAGACCCAGCAGTAACAGCAGGGGTCTATTTCTCTCCAATCAAGTCACAGGGTCACATCTGTAAAACGCCCAGCTCCTGCCAGCCCGGGGACCTGCCAGCCCAGGTCTGAGCGTCAGGCCAATCCCACAGGACTCAGCGGAGCTGCTCCGGGTTCACCGGGTCTCACGGACACACAGCGTATTACACACGAACAAATGGTGTTACACCCCCGTATTCCACATATCTGCTCCCTGAAGTGAAGGTCAGTGCAGACAGCGCAGAGGGATGGGCTGAAGGGGGCAGGGAGCCCGGTCAGGAGTCCTTCATGTGGCTCTTTTGTCAGCTGGCAGGACTGAGTGGTGGGTACGTCCCATCAGAGATTCTTAAATTCCTAGGCCAGAAGGGACCGTTGTGCTCCTCGAATCTGACCTGCTCTAAAGCACAGGCCAGAGAACCTCCCCTTGATAATCTCTAGAGCAGATCCTTTAGAGAAACATCCCGTCTTGATTTTAAAATTGTCAATGATGGAGAATCCACCACAACTCTTGGTAAATTGTTCCAATGGTTAATTACTCTCACCATTAAAAATTTAGGCCTCAATTCCAGTCAGAATTTGTCTGACTTCAACTTCCAGCCATTGGATCGTGTGTCAGACCTTTATCTGCCAGACTGACGAGCCCATTATGAAATATTTGTTCCCCACGTCACATAGGTACTTATAGACTGTAACCAGGTCACCCCTTCACCTTCGCTCTGTCAAGCCTGGGCTCCATCTGATTGGCCAGCAGGGGTCACTGCAGCTCCACCATCTAGGGACTCGTTTCCTGCTCTGGGGGACAGAGGCTGCAGGCAGAGAAGTTGGCAGGTGGCAACAGTGCGAGAAAACAGGGAAATAGACCAGGGGCTGCAAAAGGAAAGGATCCAACAGGTGAATGAGGAGAGTCAGTCAATGACCTGTCCCTTAGCATTAACCCGACCCAGGGAGGAGCCCCACAGGGGCAAACTGCTCTAGTACGCTCCATGTCAGCCCCCATCACTCCCTGAGCTGGGGGTGTCGGGGAGCAGTCATCTCACGCTGTACGTTTAACCGAGGGGAGATTTACTCGGGGCTCTGACTCTCCTGGATTTCCAGTGACTGTGACAAGCTGGTACCTGAATTCCCCCCTCCCTAGAAAGGGGTGGGACCCTCCAGGTCAGGGGTCAGGACCGGGGCACGAGTATCAGGAAGCCCAGAGGAGGGCGATGCTGGAGTGGATTCAAGCTAGAACTGTTGTGTTCCCCGAGGGACGGTGCCACCAGCTCTGGGCTGAGGACCAGGCTGAACAGGATGGAACGAGGTGGGGGTTTGTCTCTTTGGGGCACAGACACGGGGACCTGGGCAGCAATGCCAGGGGAGGCTGGGTAACAGCAGTCACCGGGCTCTGGAACTAAGAAATCTGGTCCAGAGCCACGAATGGGTCGCTGGGACCCTCGTACAGGCCCGGCGCAGGAGAGGGTCAGGGACCCAGGAATGCCTGGCCCTCGGGCTGGAGTGGGACTCGTGTTCTGGGGGGTGAATCCCCTGGGGCAGGATTTCCAGCAGCCACATGGCTGGGACGATGCGCCTAACATGAGATAAAGGGGAACTGATCCCCTGTGTGTCTCTGGCCCCTGCAGGGCTCCCCCGACCCGCCTGGCTGTTTGGGGCAGGGATTCCGGAGCTCACCCGGGGTCTGGACTGTGTCCCCGGGGAATCTGCCCCAGGGGAACCTGGGAGGCATTTTTCAGATGGAGGGAGTGTGTGGAGAGGAGGCTGCGTGTGAACAGGAGAGGAGCAAAGGGGCTTCTCTGTGACGGAGGCGCAGACAGTGATGGAAAGACTGGCCAGCCCCACCAGCTCGCCATGGAGCTCACCCTGAGCCAGCAGGACCCACTCGATGGGGCAGAGCAATTCATTTCCCACTTGTACCCAATCCTTGGGGGCTCTGATGCCCAGTGAGAGCAGCAGGTAGTGCCCAGTGAGATGGTCACCTGGGGATGGGGCTGTTTGGGCTCGAGGAACTGCACTGGGGACCTGAAAAAACCACCCAGTCACTAGTGATCTGGGCTGGCATCAGACAGGGAGGGTCTATATCCCATGTACAGCCCAGACACACCCAACCCCACAACACTGACTCCCTATGAGACTTTAACGCTTCCTGCTCTGCTCCTGGGCTGCAGCATTACAATCCGTTCCCTGGCTCCCAGGGGAACTCACAGCAAATCTACATTTACCTGGTTACGCTTTGCTTCTCAGGAAGAGGAAGAGGAGGAAGGCGGCTGTCAGCACCTTCTCCAGGAAGAGCCCGATCCAGAGAGCGGGGCTGGAGAACAGACTCTGACCTGCTGTGTAAATGTATCAGATCAGCCAACGGACAGAAACCCTCCGCGGACAAGAGAACTGCTGGTTCCTGGCCATCCCGCCCTGGCTCACATGCCCCTTTACCGGCAACACCTGACACCCCCCAAATACACCCACCCGGCCAGTCACCCCCCCCCCAATGCACCCACCCGGCCAGTCACCCCCCCCCCGCACCTACCCG